TGAGCATGGAGGGGAGGAACTACCAACGTGTTTGTTATGTTAGATATCAAGGAACACTCACTAACTGGTGCGTAACTAAAAAGCCGCTGCCTTTGAAGCTTTACATCTTGTTCCAGAGTGTCAGTTCACAAGTGTGGCACTTGTAGCTGAAGTCACCATGATGCTTGTGGTACACCACACGTCTGAGCAATGCAACATCACAACATCACTGTCTGAAGGTTCTGAGAGGTTGTGGATGCCTCTCCCTGGAAGCATTCAAGGCCGGTTTGCATGGGGCTGTGAGCAACCTGGTCTAGAGGGAGGCATCTCTGCCTACGGCCTACAGCAGGGGGATTGGAACCAGGTGATCTTAAAGGTCCGTTTCAACCCAAACCATTCTATGATTTACAGGTTTTAGTAAATTAATTCTACTTGTCTAAATGTTTTCAAGACTGAACAAATGCTATGTGTGACCTGAAACTTTTTTGCTGTCTTCCTGGCTGTAGAATACATAGCGCACAGGGATTTCCTAGCCTGAGCAAATGATACTTGCTAATAGAACATGCATACTGGGGCATAAGGACATCATCCCAACATCATACAGTCAACAAAGCAACTACATTTCCTGGACAAACTCATCAGGACTTAAAAATGGCACAACTCAAACATCATTTTAAGTGTCTGTTCAGCATCTGTAGAAAATATGATTTATGCTATTAATCAGCAAGACAAACTTAAGCTACTAAGTTACTACCTAGACTACCAGGCCACAATGTGGTCAGCTTTGCCCCAGACTGACTAGCACAATTTGAGGCAAAGCAATCCCGTTCATGTTAGGTGTCAGTAAAACATGGATTATGGCACTGCTCTTTCTTATGATTTAAATATGAGCGCTCATCAAATGCATTTGTTTTCTAAGATCTTAGGGCAACAGAATCCCATCCTGCATCACAGACAGCATAAGAGAGGAACTAATACCCTACGTTCACAGGTAATGCACAAAACGAAACTCTGACTGAGAACAGTGGATTCTTTGCTCCTTCACAGCTATTTGTTTGAACTTAAAAAACCTCATGGTTTATGTTATGCAATATTGGAATTACAGTGCTTATTTTTAAAGCAAAGTTGGACACCTGAGATGAAAAGAAAAACGAAGAAGTCACTCAGTGAGGCCTCTTCTCTGGCAGCACAGCATTTTGCAGCTCACAAAACCTTCAGGGGATTCTCCATTCAGAGCACAGCTGCTTCCTTTCCTAAATACCCTTTCTGTTACACTTCAATGTTTTCTCGATTTAGAACTAAGATTTCCTAATTTTTTTTTTAATCTCTCACTATCTTAAAAGTATTTTCTTGACGTCCTAATTCTTTATATTCCAAATACCCTCTCTTCCTCTGAGTTCCCTTATCACGTTAAAATTGTTTAAGTCATGAGGTATTGGCCAGACAGAAGCTAAACATTCCTTTCCCAGACCAGCAGAAATATGACTAGTATGAGTTCTGCTGCTACTCTCTTCACAACAGGCCACTTATTTCAGGAAGAGCTGGAAATCTATCGGCTGCAAGAGTTAAAATGATTGGGGGAAAAAAAGGTGGCTTTCAGGACAGCATAGGCTGCCTAGTAGACATTGCATGTAGGCATAGAAAGCACTCACTGTGTACAGAATACAAAACTAAGGTGAAATTTTCCAAAAGTTCTCAAAGAAACTCTCTGCTATCAAAAGTCAGTGAGCATCACTAGTTACAGGGTTTTGCAAATGCCTAATTGAATGAAAGAGAAAAATGAGGAAGAATAAACACAAGTATGCTTTTATCTGTTCCTGTCATGGGCTGCGATGGAGTGCAAAGAAAAAACACAACAGTTTGCTGAGGAGAGGCAGAATGGGGGCAAAGTAGGGGGCAGAGTCCTGTGGCCTCCATTAATTCCATAGATACTCTGAAAGCAGAATGATGTCAGGAATGTCTACCTTAAAACAACCACAAAGTCTTTTTCCTACTTTAAAATGACCAAATAGGTTAAATTCAAGTTTAAGACAAAAAAAAAATAAATCCTGGACTTCCTGTTTTAATGCCAAGTTTCTGTCTGCAACAAATTTTTGTGGTTGTATATTAATCTTGTAAACACAGCATAGAAATGTTGACAGTTGTTGTAATAGTTATTCCTACTGGTCCCTTACTGCCATAAAGTCGTTAAGATCTTGTAGTTAATTATCTATGCTTAATTATAACGTCAAGATTAAAAGATAAATAGTCCCCCTTCCAGCCATTTTCAAGAAAAGGAACCAATATCTGTCTGTAACACCAACACAGGTGACATTTGGCCATGGAACCCCAAGCTTTTGATCAGTACAATAAAAATAAACAAACAAAGGTAAATAAACAGAGCACAATATGGCTTCTGAAGCCAACATCAGTTGGTAAAACAAGGCATTTCTTTACTCACATATGATATCTGTTGTAAGGTTAGAAACAAAAATGAGTACCCAGTGTTAAACCCATCATGTAAGCAAGTTTAGTAAAATATGTTAAGGGCCAGGAAACTGGGCTAATTTCAAAGCAGATCCAAAGAAGCTGAGCTTGCAGGGAGGAATTACATCTTCATTCATTACTCAGAGGGGTAGGAATTTCCAGATTTCAGCCTAAACTTGTAAGAGGAAGCAAAAACGGACAGGGCAGGGATACACTAAAGGCAGATTTTAAACAGAAAGTGAATAAAATTTTAATGAACAGCTTGACCAAACTGAATCCAACTGCTTCCAGCAGGACCCTGATAATGATACTTTGAGTTTATCTGAACTTAAGCTATGGGTGATGCAGTGAGGATTAGAGATGAGGCTTAAATGTTATACCAGTAGAGTAGAATAGAACATACTTTCTGCTTTTGTTAACATGCAGTGGTTAGGGTAAAACAAGTCTAAACTAAAATTAAGCAGTCCTCTCTTGGTGGAGCTGCAATAGGAACTTTTGATAGGGAAGTTTGGGATTTTAATTGTACTATCCTGTGCTAAAGTTCTGCATGTGGGTACATCTGCCTCTACCATCGGATGCATTTTTACAAAGTGATTTTATGACAAACTTAAAACATGTGTTTTGATTGCTATTTTAAGATTATCAGCATGAAGGTGAAAGTCCTACTACTGTTTTTTTTTCCCACTTTGCTGGAATCAGAATCAGTATTTTTTTGGTCCGATTTGTTTGAGATTGTTACTTTTTCTTTTTTCCCCTCTACAGAACACGAAATTCTGGAATGGAGTTTCTGTAGGCAAACAGGCTGACAATGGGGACGCTGTATTCCAGTTTGACTGCTAAGGGAGAAATCATATTAAACCACAGAATTTAAAGACAATTCCTCAAAATGAGGAAGGTTGTCTAAAGAACACTGGCTCTAGATAATATGAAATTATTGTGATTCAGAATCCTAAATTCAAAATGTATGATTAAAAGCCCTTAGATTCAGTTATTTCAACAGCTACTCACAAAAGCCATCAGAAATTGTTAGAGATTTCATGTCCTCTGCTGTAATTTTAAATGGGTAGAAATGAGAAACGTAGACTAACAGAGTGAAGTTATGTACCTTGCAAAAAGTGTTCTGAACTCCAGCTATTTGTTACTGAATGCAACTGCTCATGAGAAAGATATGGGCTAATGGTGGGGAGTTCTGCTAAATCATTATTCGTGCAGCTGATGAGGTCAGAAAGATTAAAACTCAAATGGGAAAGAATATTATACAATTAAAATGCTCTTGTAAAGTGAAAGGTGTGTATTCACCTGTATTGGTGGGCAAAAGCAAAGTTGAGGCTGGTGAGGAAAGTGACTAGAGGAAAGATTTCTCATTGAAAAACACAAACGTGAAAGGAACTGTTTTAAAAAGGAGATTAACAACAACTGGATTATATAAAAACAATAAATGGTGCAGGGAAAAAAAAGACAGGAATTTCTCTTCAGCTATTCCCACGTTAAGAGGAAAATCAGACGTTACGTAAGGTGCTGGAAGTTCTAAAATGAACAGAACAGAACGCTCGGATGAAATATGTTCAATCTATGAAATTTCTGCAGGTGCAATTAAGGCTAAAACTTAGCAGATTCAAATTAGGACCTAATGGCCACGAGATCATCAAGAATCGAAAACACCAAGGGAATTCTGCACAGCACACTTTTGCAGCCTTCCATGTTGCCCCTTTCCCCTCTTCAAATTAATAGACATAAAATATAGACTCAGAGTATAAAGCTCCACGATTCAGGGAGGATTTCAGTAATTAAAAAAATATTAAAAAATTAAAAAAGAACATAGGCAGGTTCTGTCAGAATTGTGCTTTACAAATATTCAGTATTCTCCTTGAAACATCTGTCTCTGACTATCAGAGACAGACTTCTGGACTGCATAAATCATTGTTCTGAGCTGGCATGTCAAGTTTAGACTTAGCCTTTATAATGAGTATTTTGCTTTTCTGTCTCTCTATCTGTTAGAGACACAGTCAAAGCTTCCTGTGTTTATGGAATGTCTGCAAAAACCACTAACATTTTGGGTGGGGAAAACTGACCACAAGTGCTGAATGTTCAGAGATTGTCTCAAAATTCAGCCAGTGATTAAAAACAGGCTTTGGGAAAAAGGAATATCCCTCTCTTCCTCTCCTGGAGGAAGTGTACTGATTTAAATTATTTAAATGCATGCACTTTTTAAAAGGAAGATGAGGGATTTTAATTTCAATATATTTTTTTTTTTAGTAAAGTAACAAATAAAGGAAGTTTTTTGTTTTTTTTTTTTTCCCTAGGAGCAAGAATTCAAGACTGTGTTGGCTTTGAACTGCAAGCTCTGTTTCATTCATGCTTGGATCCCAGTTGGGCATCTTCTCCCACTGTGTACACACATGCAAATAATCCTCAGTATTTTCTGTGGAGGAGGGGGAATTACAAGGAAAAAAACAAACACCCTACCACTCTGCCCCTAATGCAAGCTAACTCCTTCAAGTCCCTTAAAAAAGACCTACCACAACAGCTTGGGACTTTCTCCCTCTCCTGCATCCTCTCTGAGCAGTTAAGTGAAAGTTCATTGAGTGGAGTGTGGAATAAGTGTCACAGCCTTTGCTAGAGCCACAGCCCAGTGCCTTCTTTAAGAAATACATACTAAGCACCATGGCTGCAATGATTCCCACCCAATCTCCTTCAAAATACATCAGGTTGGTGCTCCCCTACAGCAAGCTGTAATGAGGCAATGCAATTAGCCTTAGTGCAGAACCGAGGAGCTGAAGCACAGAAAGGTGAAACCACCTGCCCACTGTAGGCATACTCATGAGAGAATGGACTTGGGTCTCCTAAGTATGAAAATAATGATCCAACTGCTGAAACACCTCTTCCTACAGATACTCACTATTAATTCCCTTCGCATTCCTTATTTAGGTTAAGACACCAATCAGACATAGAAAAAAAATCATGTAATATTGAAAAATACCCATTCTTCTATATCTCATACTTGTTTTCAATGCAGTAAACAAACCTCTTTTCTTTGTAAGGATTCAATAGTACAACATTCATACAGGAGGAGCTCAGAATAGAGAAAAACAAAACTTCTGTAAGACAAATTGAGATGAAACCTGAAGTCTAATAAGGTTGTTTCCTCACAGCAATTGGTCACATAACAAATTTCAACTAGCTGCAAGCCACTGTATTTCTTTCTCACTGCAGTGAACATGTGTACTGGACTCTATGAAGCACACTATGGAACAGCCCTCCAAAACATTCCCTCTCTCCTTTTTCCGAGAGACAGTTCATTCAAAACAGAGCTAAGAGTTGGCCCTTGCCGTTTGACAAGTGCTAAACTGCATAGTTTAACAAACACATCCAGCCAAAAATGCAGAGAAATTTTAAGTAGGAAAATGATGGTTACTTACGCTGGACTTCTTAGAAGATGGAATTATCAGCACTAGCAACAAATAGCAGGTAGCTTAGACTTCTGTTTGTCACATACAGTATCTCTTGAAGTATCTTAGCACCCTCAAGGCATGTCAAGGAAGGAAGATGTGGAAATTTGAGCTTCTTAGTTGCTGTCAGTTCCATTTCTTCAACCATTGCTTTGTTTCTGTGGAAACAGAAAAGCATTAAACGTGGAGCATATTCAACAAAGCACACAAAATTAGCAGCAACAGTAACAACTACAGAGTCAAGCCAGTACAGCTTAACTGCTTGTAAACGAAGAAGGTTATTTACCACTTAGATCTGCTCTGAAGATAATTTGTGTTAGAATGGTCCAATAATCCCCTCAACATTATTGCAAAACAGACGTTTCAGAAACTAAAAATATAATTTCTTAGAATCTAAGCAGAAAGTAATTTTATAATAAAGGGAGAGCAGGGAGGAATCAATCCTTCTGTTCTTCGAGGACTGCTGTATAAAAAGTCATCTCCATTTACTTCCAGACTCTGCTCTCAGCAGCCTGTGGTGCCATTCACTCACCACGTTTTTCAAGCAGCCTGTTTCCTTTAATATGTGCATATATAAGAAGGTAGTTTTACTCCCTGCCTTTCCCACTGATGCTCATCTTTAAGCTATCCTCAAGTGCCTTGGCCAACTTAATTAGTTCAGGTCAGGCCAGGCTCATTTCCCTGGCACCAGAACTTAACAGCTCTGGTCAGCAGACAGGTATTTGGGGTTGGTTTGATGTGGCTTCATTTTGAAATCATAAGAGGGAGAGAAAAAAAAAAAAAGGTTCTCTAGCCCTAGCCTTGGGAGGTGGTGCCATCCATCTGTTTAAGACACAAGTAAAATAGAAAATAACTTCATAACTTAATCTCATACTTCAGATTTTCACTAGTGTAAGATTAGAACCAATGTGGAAGTAGTGACTGTTTGGTGTTTTTTTTTTCTGCATTAACTGTAAAGTTGCAATTTAGTCAGAGATGTAGAAAGAGGAAACGGTTAAAGAACAGCACTCCTTGGCTAAGGCACACGAGTTGATGCAAAAAAAGCACAATGAGCCCAGTATAGTAATTCTTCAACTGCATAAGCTACCAATTTATTACATGATTTATATTTCCCATTTATAAGTATGTGAAGGGAAGAAAAAGAATACTCCTTTGATGTAACAGATCAAGCAAACAGGCAAAGCTATTGTACATGGAACATGTTTACATTCTGTGGTGATAGGCAGCAGCATAGGCCTCTAATAACTTTAAAGCTACCTTTTGTAACACCTTCCCATTTTTGTTCTTGGAAGTGGGAAAACTTGCGTTGTCCTGAAATCACCGTCTAATAAACTGTGCTTCTCACCACAGCTAAATACTTGGAGGAATGCAGTTTTCCTGTGGCTATATTGCATCACTGCTGTGGGGGTGTGTCCTTTGCCTTAGACAGGCTGAACTTAGAAAGAGAGAACAGACTTTTGAACTCAGCTGCCAATGTGTAGAGAACAACGCCAGAGTCTGGGCTCTAAGTTGTGCCCCAGGAGAATTGATTTCTCTGCACTGATTTTATTCAAGCCCAAACCATTCTTTGATGCTGCTTTTTAATACTGGTAGGTCGAGTGAATTGACTCTCAAGCACAAAGTTTTGTTAGTTAGTTGTTTAAGGCAAGCTTTGGGACTGATAGAAATTTATAGGGCAAGCTGCTTTTCCTTTAAATGCTGTGATCCAGAAAGCCACAAATGTAGTTTTACATGGGCAAAAAGAATGGCAAGAAAAAAACTTGGGATGAAATGCTTAACATTTTTCTTTTAATCTAAATTTGAGATTATTGGATAAATCACTTGGAAAAAAATATAGCAAATATGTCAATCCTGCATGAAATACACATCTCAAATCAATAAGCAGTAAAATAGCATCTTCTGTAGAAATATCACAGCTAGGTAAGATACACCTTGCCAGAGACTCCTTCTATCCTAAGACTCTCTAGCAATCCCAGCACTTGATGCAGTGATCCTATGGATTTCCCATAGCAGTCAGTGGGAATGACTAACATTCTTTCCAGTGCTGTCCTCAGTAGTGGACCCCTTGCACAGTCTGCAGAAAACAATCTCTTAATCCCCTCCACTCAGTGCTGATCTAAAGGAGAAGATCAAAACACGACCCCTAGAATGACCTCAGCCTGCTCAGCAAGGGTCAGAGGTGTCAATCTGCTCCCTACGGGCCCTTGTTGTTCTCTGAGGAATGCACTCTGCATCAGACAAACAAGAAAACTCCTTTAGAAGTATGCAATACAAATACACGAGGATTACTGGCCATCTTCTTCACAAGATGTACACGCAGAACAGAAAGCAAAAATTACATGTATGTGATCAGTTTACTGAGGCCAAATTTTTTCAATGCTTAATGTTTACATTTCAGTCATCAAATGATTTCTCAAAATACAGCAGAAGACACCAGTGGCACAGCTATTAAAAATAACTGCAGAATTCCAGCATAGAAAAAAAGACATCTCAAGCAGTTTGCTTCTGATGCCAACTTGTTAAATGTACTATTTTCCATTTTTAACCTTTAGAAAGGGGGAATAAAGCTGGGAACTCGACTGTACATTGAAGACCACAATGCAGATTCCATTTTGTAAGAGGTTGGAGAGGGGGAGAATTTAGATAGATTTTTAAGTCTAATTAAAATATCTCTGACAGAAGCATCTGTTCAACTTGATTGTCCTGATGGTAAAAAAGATTCATCAGTTCACTCTTAGGAAAACTATGAACTAGCTGCTTGACTAATTAGCCTCTAATTTCAGTGTCAGCAATATAGAAACATGAACATGGTGGTAAACAATGCATTACTTAATCCCTTTGACGTGCTTAAGTCGACTTACAAGCTATTCTTTGAGGATAATTACTTATCTTTTGGCATATTTGTTCTTTTACTCTGTCAGGATTCCCTAGCTGTCCACTCACTCAAAAATGAGATCTTTATCTGAAAACGTGGATCTTTTGGACCAGCTATGAAGATTTTGATCTATGTAAGACAATGTATAGCATTTACTGCCTGTGACAAAACTCAGGTAAATGAGCAATGTCAGCATTAAAAAAAAAGCTCATACCTGAATGTGGAAGACCCCCTCAGTTTTCAGGCTCCATTCCAAAATACAATTTGTAAGTAGCTAGAGGGACTCAAGGATTACAGCATCTTGGAGATGGTCAGAAATGCATAAGTTAATTCTGAAAAAAGAGAAGGAACAAAAACCATATTCTTACAAATCTCAGGAGCATACTATTTTTCTACTGTTTATCATATTTGTAAAGAAGCACACTTTGATACCAGTGCTTTTTCACTTGCACTCCCTAGACCAGTGCTGGTCTGAGATAAGCAAGAGAAGGAAATCTGCAAAAGAACTGAAAAAAAAACACCCTCAAATGAACAACCACAAAACAGAAACATGCATTTGATATTCCACTGCACCTACCTGAAGGAGACACTAGGCAAAATGAAAGAAACTACAAACTACAGAAGAACAGTTCAAATTTATCCTCATTCTTATCACACTAACAATGTGTTTGACCATCGTCTTCCTATTATTTAGATGATGTCTAAACCACAGATTAGATAGAGATGAGGAAATATCTGAATAAGTCTCTCTACAAATGCATCTTGTTCTTCTGCTTTCTTCCAGGCATCCAGTAGCAGGGAGAGAACCTTAGGCTCCAGGTTGGAAGAGGACACTCACTCTTCACAGAAAACTGCAACTGCTGACCAGAAAAGCATTTATATGAAGAGTATAGCACTGATGGAGTCAAGGGGGGAGCGGGGGGTGTTAGAATCTTTGTAAATGATTTTCCTTTCCTGCTTCTACAAAGAGTAAGGGTAAAGGCGAGCTGTTAGTGGAACAGCATCCAGCCCACAGACTCAAAATCCTGCTGCAACATTCTAGGTCCTTTTCTACTGTAGTTTAGTGTTAGAAGCAATTGGAACATGTGTCAGCTAGATTGAGGATTTCCACTGGCAGAGCAGCAAAGAGCACTGTCTACCTTCCAAATCAACTTCTGGGTCAGCTGACAAAAGTACAAAGGGAGATGGTGCTTTAGGCACTGTCACTTCTGGCAAATTCTGCAAGGTTCTGCAGATGGTCAGACCTGCCCCATCTGAAGCATTTGAAAGATCCAAATGAGTGAGACAAAGAAAGTTCCAAGTGCAGAATCAACTAACTAATCACAAAACTTAGCAACCTGACATTAATCCTGACTGTTAATCATAAGTCTGCTACAATACAAAGATTTGTTTCCCTTTACTAACTGAACATATGCCAGAATTTACTGGAAGTCAACATAAGATCACATTTGCATTACAGCATTTATCTTGTCAGGTTACTTGTTTTCTAAAGAGACAGTTGCCACTATGGTAAACAGATGCTACTGTCTGCACTTAACATGCTGAATCACAACAAACAAAAGAAATTGGAATGCAGTTCTTCCTCAGTAGCCTTCATGTACCATACCTTTCTAATGCCCATCTATGTCCAAAACCAGCTGTTTGTTCATTCACAGACTGTGTTTTAAACTGCTGAGGGGTCTCAGAAATGATCAGATCATTTCTTGGGATGTCTTGTTTGATGCACTGAAAGCTCTCTGGCAGGAGAAAGCCTCCGGGCTATGCTACCAACATTCTTATGGCATCACATCCCACAAACACAACTGAGCTAGTTTTGCTAGCACTGTTGGCACATCTCATATTTGTCTAGCTTCTAACTAGATTTTACAGCCAGCATTGCCCTAACTGTAACTACTCAGTGTCAAAATTGCTTGTTTAAGGAAAGACGTATTAAATCTTCAGTCAGAGCCTTCCATTCTAATTATAGTTTCTGTTCTCATCTAGACTACTGAAGGAATGTCTCCAAGAAAGGCATTTTCTAGGCATTTTCTTTTTTAAAATCTAAAGAGCAGAGATGGAGAAGCAGATTCATGCTTAAAACAGCTTGGAAGGAAACGCTTGGGATCCCCAGGGGGATTGAGAAACATGTGGGTTTGGGATGAAAAGAACCCAGCCAAGAACTAGCTGGCCACTTCCAGCTTTCACACCATAAATCATTACATTCTTTAATAGTTGGCCAGCCTTCACAAACAGAAAGAAAGTGAATACAGTAGGACGTAGCAGACAAGATACAGCATAGTCAAGGGCACACTGTGTCAGGTATCCTTTCATACTCGTAGTGGCAGTGCAAAGAAACAACTGGCAGGAGGCCCAGCATCTCTGTAAATCAATACAGCTGTTTATTCAAACCAAATGCCTGGCAAAAATATCAAGCTTTGATTGTTGTAGCAATTTCCAAAAGGAAATTAATAACATTTCAGGAGATGACAGCAAACCCATGTGAGAACAAAAGAATTCTTTCCAACTAAGCTTTTATTCATTGTAGGGCTTGCTTTCAGTTCACTGCTTCAAGGTAATAATAGACAGTACCCATTATTATTAGAATTGATTATCATAAACCCCAACAGATAACAAGACAGATATTCCTTCCCAAGTATTCCTGACAGTAGAAAGCTTCAAAATATATTTGCAGTCACAGACGGCATGTGTATAAGCTTTTTGGCAACGCGTGGGAATCAAATGCCTAGATTTACATTTGGCTGCAAAGCCTGCTTAAGGCTGGCATGGACATGTGGTGCTGCAGTGCTACGTAATCCTCTGGGTGAGAAGTCAGACTTGGCACGAATCTGGCCCGAGGTTCTGCCTGCATACAGGAGCAACTGCAGCAGGAGAACTGATTTTGTGCCATGTGATATCTCGCTCTAATCCATTTTTTCCCATTTGTGGCTAAGACAGCAGATACATAAATCACTGTTACAGTGAAGTAGGAAAAACCGAGAGAGAAGGATAACGTGCATCTTTAACTTCCCTTTCCAGACTATCCTGGGTCATACAAATGTTGGTAGTATTTTTGCCATAAATAATTTGCTTTTTATTGTACAAGTGGTCCCTTTCTATTTTCAAGGTTATTGTTAATTTTTTTAAATAACCTCCCAAGAGATGGAACCAGATACTCATAAAAAACCACCAACAACAAAACAACAAACAAAAAAACCCCTATGACCTTTGCCATTTTTAAGCTATGTTGTCACAAAATTGTTGGAAATAATTTAATACAACAGGGAAGAATAAATTTGACAACTGCAAATGAGCACTGGGAAAAAAACCTAAAAACTGTCCTTTTTACAATGACAAACAATGTTGTTTCACCATGGATGGGACTCACAACACAGGCACTGGTCTGGCCCACTGTCAGAGTAACAAACCTCTCTCCTTTCCAAGTTACTGATTACATGCAAGAGGACTTCTGGTTGGAGCAGCACTAAAAGATGAAGAGTGAGAAAGCAGGAAATTCAGCAAGTGTAAATTACTACTGTAATTTACAGTGAAATGTGAAGGGAATCTGCTTTAGCAGCAGGGTTGGACTCCATCAATGATCTTTTGAGGTCCTTTCTAACTCCTTCAATTCTGTGATTCTGTGATTCCTTAGCCTGACTTTCTGTCACACTGCACGAGTGATGGATTCCAGAACATTCATGTATTTAAATAAAACCTGTGGCTGCTGACACTGCCTATGGACAAGGCAGAAAAACAGCTTATTTCATGAAAGGCCTGCCAAGCTGAAAGCAGGCAACATTAGGATGTTCAGAACAATCACTATAACAGCAAGGACCAGCAACCTGCTCTGAGAGACAGGATTCTTTTCATGCTCTGTGAACCCACTTGATTGAGAAGCACCAGGACCATCATGCTATTTTCAGTCTGTATTTTTTGAAAAGAAACAAAACTTGTGTTCCCAAGGATCACAGCTGCTAAAATGGCAGAAAAAAAGTTCTTTGTCACTGTGTTGCGGAAGAGATTTGTAGGCCAAGACAGCCAAGGTCAGCATTAGGAAGTTAAGAGTTTGGTATTGTTCATTCCTGCACAGATACATTGCTGCGACTTCTCAGACACAGCCATGATCCGAAAATAGGTGCAAGGCCATTTCACAGAAGTCCTTCAACTGGCAACAGAAGGTATCTAACCCTATCAGACACAGCTCAGAGAGTTGTGTCTCACCTCTCACAATGAGAGGTGCAAGAGAAGTAGAGTTTTGTTCAGCATTTTTGCTGTTACTGTATTGTTACTGATAAAACTTTTCCTTTATTGCTTTAAGCTTGATGATAGCCATAATAATCTAAGAGAAAAGGAGCACTGAAGATGCTCTCAGGTAAAGGTACTTCAGATGGCAACCTGCAGAATTTCTTCTGATCGATTACTTTCCCTTGCAGAAACTCCTGCATCCAAGTTGAAGCGTAGATGCCCTATTGCACCTGTGCAAAACAAAGAATGTTGAAACATAAACAACTGTCTCACACAGCCTGTAATTGAGGTCTAAATTACATCATTAAATGATTGTTTTGCCCTACATAACGCACAGCCTGCAAACACAGGAACTCTATACCACAAACATAGCCTTACGTTACATCTAGCCTTCTCCCCTAGCTAGTGATCTTGGCCAGGATTAATCTTCATCTGTTTCAGTAAAAGAAGATGAAATGAGAAAATAAGCCGTACGTTACTTCATATTTACAGAATCTCAGGATAGGATTCAGTGTTTACACAGTGCAGTGAGAAACAGGCAGGAAACGTGTAACCTGCTCATCTTTGCATCAAACCAAGCGTGTTGCTGACATTCAAAAAGAAAAAAAATAAAAGCATCCTGGAATGTTTTAATATAGTTTTTAAACAAAGGACCAAAGGAAATTTTACCCTGGCTCTTCAGAAATAGAGTTCTAAAAGTAGCCCCTAGTGGGTGAAAGTGTATAAAATCATTGCCACCACTGAGGAAACTAAAAGTTATACTCAACATAAAACAGCAGAAATAAGAAGCTAGTGTTATATTCTAAAACACCCAGGTAGTTGTGACTCTATTAATAAAAAAAACAAAATAAAAAGAGCTTGAGAATAGCATCAGTCAAGTAATGAATCACTTTATAGGGCAGCTGGGACCAGTGCAGTTGCAACATTACTGTGTATGTATTTGTCTATTTAGTTGCTGCTGGTACTCTGTTTGCTACGTAGGTACAAAGGCTTAACTCTTCCTGGATTGTGACACATCTCAGAAGAGCAGACAGTGACTCCAGATAACCCAATTGCCATTATTGAGTTGATATTCAGGGAATGAGGCTTTTAGAATAGACCTTCCTTATAC